AAATGTTGACTTGAAACGAGACTGTTGATATTCTTGTTTTATCAACTTGTTTGTCAAAAATTTGCCTCGTTTTAGAAATTGTTCGTACGTTGAGCATGCTCTTGCTTTTCGAATCAACTGGGAAACATATGCAGGTGATAATTGTATATTTAAGTAAGGGAAGTTGACGACAGAAAAGTGCTGATGTAATCACGTTTATCATAGTGTTGTTGCTAGGTTACCATTAAGGCTTTTTTCTAGTAAAATATTTAAATATGATACAGATGTGTCAGACTCCGTGGTATCTTTTATTTCCAGTTCAAAGGGATACACCAAATGAACGTAAGAATGAAAATGAATATTGTCAATTGATAAAACTTCATAGATATGTCTTAATATTAAATTGAAAGCCAAAACAAGAGACTTCTTCTTTTCATTTAGAAGTTTTTGAATACATTCTGCTTCATTTGAATAGAAATAAGGTCTGCTAATAACACTGCAATTAGTACCCAGGGGAATTCTGACAGATTGTTGGAAGACCTGATCTCCAAAAACTACACAGATATTGTCAATCAGAAACTCAAACATCTTTTTAATATCAACTTATGTGCAGAAACGGAATATTTTTCAAAATAATTTTGCAAGTTACCATGATAAGGTAAGCAAGATTACGAATTCCATTTTTATTGAAAACGCAGCTGTCTATTGTGTCCAAAAGCCTGGACTTTAATTTATCGTGGGGAATGGTTGTAAAAAGTATTGAAAAGTAGTAATACCTTCTGATATCTTTGATTTTAAGTATCCACATCTGATTTACACTCACTCTCGAATAAATTGGTTTACAGTACTCCTGAAGTTTCTCCCTCACTGCTGTTAATATTTGAGTAAGGAGTAAAGAAAGAGACTTAGTAGAACACTTATTGGAACCCGCTATGTATCTTCCTTTGTAAGGATTTCTATTTGCTCTGGAAATCTTATATAGGTATGTTAATTCAAATTCAATTTAATTCTTGGGAATATTGAAAATATTTATTAAAACTGACTCATTGGTTTTGAAGAATTCTCTCCTTAGAAAGGAAACTATGTGTACAAGTTACAACCTGCAGAATTAAATCCAAGTTCCTCTAAAATACAATAAAGATAATTATTTACAAACAAATACATGGTATTTCAGATTTTTATGGGATTCGGCAATTTTGATGAAAATAATGTCTGAGAGTTTATATTTTTTTTTTTTAGATTTAAATGAAAAACAATTTAAACTTTCTTCCACAATTTTTCTTTTAATGTTATTATGTTTGACTTGCATAAAAATTTAAATACAAACATGGGGAAATTAAAAATAAGCTATTTCTATAAATAGATAAACTTTTTTTTTTTTTAAATTATTAAAATTAACTTTAATGCTTTGGAAAATTATTTTAAAGGACATTGCGTCTACTATTAGAAATGCATGAAACAAAATAAAATAGACCGTTTCACGGTAACTGCGGTACTGCTCTTTTGCAGGGCAAAATGATTTAGTTTGGTGATATATGACGTAAAAGTAATTGTTAAATATACGTCATTTAATTATCTGTTAACAAAAACTTCGCCAAACGTTATAATTTTGCCCTGCAAAAGAGTAGTACCGCAGTTACCGTGAAGGGGCTAATTCATTGGTGTAGAAAATCACCTTAATTTTGATCTCAGTAGTACTGCTCTCTTTCAAGGATATGCATCGGTAGTATTTAAATTCCGTGCTTTATTTTCTGAAAATGACGGATAATGGCTGTAAGAGTATCAAAACGAGAAATTGCTGCATTTGTTTCAAAATATGCTAGATATTAAATGCCAAAATTTGCAGATATCTTTTTTTTAAAAACTGCATTTTTCAAATCATATCTGACATTTTAGTGAAAAAAGAGACAGTTTAAGAACAGATTGACTATAGTACAAATCAAAACAAAACGTTTCGGAATTAATTTGATCTAACGGTCTTATTCATGGTAGGTTTTTTTTCTTTCTTTTTTTAAATTCAGAAAATAGACTTTCGATAGTTATGATGAAGAGGATATAAGGAAGTTTTTTTGTAGCCGTAGCCGAAAGCCACTCCTAAACCCATATTTTAATATACTTGTTTACTTAAATATCAAGAATGATATTTCTTGCCAAAGAATCGACAAGAATATCCAATTTATTTTTCCGGTAACCACTAAAGATAATAGGATATTTTAATACACAATATGTTAAAGTTAGTTAAAAAGTAATATGAGTATTTATTAATTAAAAACAAAATTTTATTTCAACTTCCTTATCACGAAGTGATAGAAATATATTTTTCTATAAACCTATGACAGCGGAGCCTTGCTAAAACCAACATTTCCTTGAATGCCGGAAGTGCCAAGCACGAGTCAATGAACTAGTCAATCGAATGTCGTGAACTTTAGAAGATATATTTATAACTATCAAACCAATTCTCTGCTTCAATAAAATTCAGTTCTGAAATATAGGTCTGTGATACTCAAGAATGTTCAAGAACAGTTATATATAAAATATTTTGTGTCTCCAACTATTTTGAGAACCCATTTGTTTGTTAAAAACCTTAAATTACTCTTTGTTAGAAAAATTGGAATATTTTCTCTTTGAGTGGGTTTAGTTGGTTAAAGTATTTAAAGAAAATATGCAGATAACGAACAGTATTCAAGCTCACAAGTCCATTCAAACAATACAAATCAGTAGCAGAGCAAACACGGGCCTCTAAAACATCAGAGGTGGGATCAGGTGCCATGAAGGAGTAAGCATCCCCTGTCGACCGGAAATAGTATGAAAACCTCTGTCAACATTTGACTTAATGATAGATTGTACTTGCTGACAAGGTCATTGTATCAACCATAGAACTTGAGAAACGATGACTTTAAACGAGATTGTTATACCCCTACTGAACAGTCCCTTTACAATTTCTTATTTAAAAAGTCCATCAATTCGACTGTTTTCCCGACTATCGTTCCAGGAACTGTAAAAATATACTGTTAAAAAAGACTGTTGCCCGCTGACGTCAAATGGAGTTAAATTGAGTTATCTTTTTCTCATTCGGCAAACCTCAGCTGATTCGGATAACCGTGAGTTAAATAAAATCAGCCGAGGAGTGCCGAACAATTTAAACATGTCGTTAAGGTAGACAGAAATGGCCGATGTTCGTTTTCCTGCGGTGAACGAGGATGAAATCCAAGCGATACTTGAAAGTAGGAACATTAAAAATACGAAAAATGTTGTGAAAACGGCTGAAAATATTCTCGAATATCTGGTGACTGTTTTTATTTTCTAATAATTTTATGAATTTGATTTAGTATGGGGTTTAACAAAACAGTTGTCGACAGGAGTCTCGGGAAACAGTCGATCTGTTGGACCGGAGTGCAAGCTGTTGCTCTCGGCCTACGGCCTTGGGCAACAGCTTGCACACCGGTCCAACAGATCGACTGTTTCCCTCTACCCCAGTCAACAACTGTATACTGTTGCTATTCTTGTTTCATCAACTTGTTTGTCAATAACTTACCTCGTTTTCGAAATTGTTCATAGGTAGAACATGCATGCTCTTGTGTATCGAATCAACGTTAACTGAGAGACATAAACCCCATATGCAGGTGATAAGTGTACATGTATATTGCTACATAAGTAAGTGAAGTTGACGATTGAAAAGTTGAAGTCATCACGTTTATCATGAAGCTTTGTTGTTAGGTTACCATTAACGTTTTTCTAGTAAAATATCCAAATATGAAACAGATGTTTCAGACTCTACTATATCTTTTTTTTTCAAGCTCACTGGAATCGAGTCGACATATGAATTGAAGTAATTATTTTTAATTGTTAATACTTCGTCGATATAACTAAATGTCGAGTTGAAGGCTCAGCAAGTGTTTTAGAATCCTGTATTTAATTTGATACTATCCTTGGAGTTATAAATCACCAAGCAGCACTAAGATTTTATATATGCATATACTAAACGGAAGATACTTGAACAAAACGTCTCGGGTAAATAAACAATAAATAAACTCATCTGTGCCTTTTTCAATGTCATTGATAAGTTGTCCAAAGTAATAATCTAGGTTACCTTGCTATTACAGAATTACAATTATCTCAATTCATCTAATATCTCTGATGGGGCAATGAAAAAAATAAACAAGCTGATAAAACAGCCTTGTCATCTAGCTAACATTTATACTGCAAATTCTTACTTCCTGAATGTTGCCAAAATGTAATTGATTGAAGAATCGATTATACCACCTGAAGCAGTCACTTTTGTGTGGAGTATGAAAGAATGACCCTTCAATTCTAAAATTAAAGGTTCATTGTCGAAATCTACTCATACATGTGATGTTTGCCTTATACAAAAAACATTGTTAAGAATGACGAAAGAAGTCTTGGTCCCTACCAATCTCTGTGCCAAGAATGATCTACTAATGGTCTTCTAATGCACATGTACAGTAGAAAGGCACAGAGTTTAGATTTTTTTTCCATACCAAGATCTTCAGAAGATTACACATATTACTGCAAACTTGAATTAGTCGAAATGATGTTTGATCAATGCCATGATATATCTAACCCTCAGGACAAAAATTACATGGATTAAATACAACATTTTTGTATTGATAAAAATTTTACACTTCAATCTCAGCTAAACTTTGTGCAAATAACCATGATGCAAGATTGTTACAAAACCTTTGTTACGAACAACTTCTGGGTGCATTATAATTGTATAATTTTAATCTTAATGTGATGCTTTATACTGTATGAAATTCACGTCGTTCAAATGTCCTTAGTACAACGTCAACATATCTCATATCAAATGCTACCACTGTACCAAGCATAATTCTTTTTTTAATTTCTATGTTTCAAATGTTCAGACCATAATTTCTGTCCTCTTTTTCTTAGTCAGATGTTATGTTCAATAATAGTTTTAAAAAAGACATAGCTTTTATTGTCATCAATCCGAAAATACCAGTTCGCAATCGATAAAATGGAAATCAAAGTATCAATGCTTATAAATATGCAAATTAAGCATAATATGTATATTTGCAATCAAGTTTCAAGTACAAAAAAAAAAGCAATTAATGAAACACATTTGGAGGACATAAGTAGAACGAACGTCCCTGGTTAAAAAAAAAAGCGACGTGGTTTCAAATTTCATCGACAAGTTGATATAATGACTTTCTTCTAATATTCTTCAATCCCTGTGCAAGTGCGTCATAGAGAAAGATGTACTGCGCCTATAGTTTGAATAAAAATTAAGAATTAAGAATAACTTGGAAGGAACGTTTATTCGTCTATAAATGTTTAATGCCAAAAAACTTTTTTTAAAAATGTAATTTTATATATTATGTGTCCTTTGCCGTGTTGGAGACACAATTATTATGATTTCTACACCTTCCATTATACATCTTTCTTTTTTTATAAGTGATAATTTAATAATCTGTAAATCTTACCTTAGTTTGTATGGAATGCGCCCTTTGCTGTCTGAGTTTGGAGACACAGTTGATGATATCCACACTCTCCATTGCAGATCCTTCCTCCAACAAATAATCCAGAGCAATGAAGGTCCCCGTTCTCCCTATACCCGCGCTGTAACGTAATCATTACGTTATAAATTACGTTATAAATGTTTTGCTTGATGTCCTTGAGTAAAAAAGGAAAATTTTATTTTATACTGCATTTTCAGTATGTGACCAATTTAACCCCACCATTGAGCCCAAAGATTATAAATTTTATATTTTAGTAAAGTGCTTATGACTTGTTATTATAATGCAAACAGTTTGCTGCTAAATGTACATGAGTAAAAAAGTTTTTCCAAAGGTGTAAAGTACTGTATACAGGATAGTTTTTGCCCCGTGTTATTTTCGCCTTTTAAAACTTGCAAACAATTTTGCCTTTTTTTAAATTCACACAGTCACAGTTCTGTTTAAGAAATTATACCGTCTTGTTTGAATCTACCACGTCTTGCATTAACCCATTTATGTGTAGGGCGAAAGGGGCAAAAATAAAACGGGGGCGAGAATTTCCCTGTATACAGTATTTTCAATTTATGATAAATTAACCCTAACCCTAAGACCGGAAACATGTACCTGTGGGGAATGAATTTCCAAATTTTGGTAAAAGGTTAAGAATAAATTATAATTTGAAAACGGCATCGTAGAAGAGCAGAGAACATACATGTTTGTCACATGAGTCACGCAGGAGGAGATGATTATATACAGAACACAATAATCTGTTTACTCTACATAGGATGAGCAATATAAACAATGTAAATTCAATTAAAATATGATTTTTTTTTAATTATCCATTGCATTATACACAACAATCAAAATATTTTCAAGAGCAGAATTACAATGGATTGTTTTAGCACTTATACACCCATTAATAATCTCCTTGCACTTTAATATGGAGGTTGCTTCATACAATATCACTATCATCAATTGATTCTTAATATATATGAAAAAAAAATACAAAAACCTGTTCACATTGTCTTAAATTGGTTCAAATAAGTTTTTCCACAAAATCCATTATTTTTCAAAGTAAAACAGTATTGATTTCTTAATAGATATACAACTCTGAATATTGTGTTTCATTTTCAGATAGCTTAACAAACCAGTAAAAACAGCTATTTTTGTTTGAATGTAATAAACATAAAAAGATATATTGTTTTGTATATAGTATCATAAAGTTTTCAATTCTACAGTCTTTAGTAAAAGGTATTTCACCTAAAATTATATTATGGACATTAAATCCAACTCTTTTTGAAATGGTTCTGTATATGTGTAAATTCAAATTCCTCCATAGAGATACAATATAGTCACAAAAGACAAACACATTGTTATAGTTTCAGTGTCCTGAGTACAAAACTTACAAAAGTCAGTATTTTTTATATTGATTTTCATAAGATAAAAATCTACAGGAAGGATCCTATGGATAATTCGCTATTATAACCACTGCACAGAGGAATCAGATGTAGTCTTAAAACAAACTTTTAAAACATCTTTTATACATATTTCAATCACTACGTAGGGAGATAATCTACATTCCACATTGAAATTGCGATAAGAATTAAATCATTTTTGTTTATTTAATTAAAAATACTTTTCGTACATTTTTAATTATGAAAAATATTTTCAAAATAAAAAGGTAAATTTGGTTGATAATATTTTTTCAAAGATTTCCATCTATGGACTTACTTTTTAAAAACTTTGAAATAGCACAAACAGTGCTATTATTTTGCATGAAGCTTACATATGTAATGTTGAATTTTTCTTGGAAAATAGATTTTGATAGAAATTTGAAATCATCTGACAAAAAAATCTCCAATATTTTTAACTCTCATTTTATACCATGGCCAATTTTCTATAAAAATGTTCTTGTTAACTACTTTTATATTATAATTATACCATACAGGAATAAAACAAGCCTTGTATTTCATATGTACATCATTATCTACATTTTTCAAAACATGTTGCAATAAAGTAAAAACTCACACCAAAATATATTGTTCTGAGGCATTATGATATCTATACTCATAAATTAATAAATTTTGCAAATAAACTCCGAAACGGGTGAACCAGAATTCTTATTTACTCCTCGAACAATACACAAGATACAAGATGATGTCCGTAAACTGTATTTAGATTTCACTCGCATAGTAAGTATCGTACATTAAATTATAAGTCTACTTTCATTTTCTATAAACAGCCATGAAATAGCAACAAGAGGCCCAAGGGCCTTAACGGTCACCTGAGTATGATACAATAATTGAAAGGATGCATAGAGTATAATATGAACTGAAAGGTGAAGCTTTGTTGCCCAAAAGAAAAAAAAATAGGGTGATCATGATCAACAAAATAATTGGTCTTAATATTCATTAACAGATAATGAATTAGGTTCTAATCCGTTCCCCATTTATCACTATCACCATATGGTATATTAACAAATTATCAATGCTTCTGTACTACTTTAATCCCTTGTTGAAATCTCTTACATTGGCCTCTCTTGGTCTTTGATGAACATTTAATAAGACAAGTTATTTTTGTCTCATTTTTATTTATCTACTACTTACAAGTCTATCTGATCATTAAAACAATGAAAGTACTTTTTGTATTATACAATAAAAGTTCTTGCATAATTCTCTTATTCTATTTACCTTTCAAGTACATTATTTACAGTGATAAATTATCAAAAGTAAATGGCAAAGGGGAATAACTCCTCTCAGTAGAATACAAACTAATAGAGCCCTGGCCAGGACCAGAACACTTGACCAAATGGTCCAGATGTTTAAAAATCTGGTAAAAATCATCTTCCTTATAAAATTTTTTACTCTATTTACCTCAGATATGCCCTGGTGCGGAGAAGATTTTTAAAGAAATAATTCATTTTTACTACAGATTCACTATATTATCAATAGAGCCCCCCCCCCCCCCGAAAAAAAAAAAACACCAGAGCTTCATCATAACTAATCACTTTGTTTATCTGCTTAACACTAAGGAGCAAACAGGATTATTTAATAGAATTAATGCATTTTCACTATATTATCAAGAGCCCCACCCTCACACCAGCACATTTGACCCAGGGGTCATAAAATTCACTACTCTACTCTGAAAGAAGCACTCTTGCTCATCATAACTATACACTTAGCTTCTTTGCTTTTTAAACCAGAAGCAGAAAAGAATATTTTCAAAGAAATTTTGCTTTTTCACTTTATAATCAATAGAAGCCCCCCCCCCCCCCCCCCCACCAGAACCCTTACACCTGGGGTCATAAAATTCACAATTTTGGAAGAGGCATACTTGTGTATCATAACAATGTACTTCGTCTGTTTAAACAATACCCAGGGGCAGAGAAGAAGATTTTCAAAGAAATAATTCGCCTTGACTATAGAATCTATATAGCCCCGCCCTAACACCAGAACTCCTGTCCCCGGGGCCATGAATTTCACATTTTTGGAAGAGACATCCTTGCTTATCATAACTATGTACTTAGTTTGTTTAAATAATACCCAGGTGCAGAGAAAAAGATTTTTAAAGAATTAAAACATTTTCACTTTATATTCAATAGAGCCCCGCCCTAACACCAGAACCCCTGATCCAGGGGCCACGAATTTCACAATTTTGGAAGAGGCATCCTTGATTATCATAACTATGTATTTAATGTGTTTCAATAATACCCAGGAGTAGAGAAGAAGATTTTCAAAGAAATAATGCATTTTCATTATATAATCAATACAGCCCCACCCTAACACCAGAACCCCTGACCCAGGGGCCATGAAATTCACAATTTTGGAAGAGGCACTCTTGCTCATCATAACTATGTACTTAGTTAGTTTATCTAATACCCAGGAGCAGAGAAGAAGATTTTCAAAGAAATAATGCACTTTCACTATATAATCAATAGAGCCCCGCCCTAACACCAGAATCCCAGACCCTGGGGCCATGAATTTCACAATTTTGGAAGAGACACTCTTATTCATCATAACTATATACTTAGTTTGTTTATTTAATACCCAGGAGCAGAGAAGAAGATTTTCAAAGAAATAATGCACTTTCACTATATGATCTATATAGCCCCGCCCTAGCACCAGAACCCCTGATCCTGGGGCCATGAATTTCACAATTTTGGTAGAGGACTCAATGCTCATTACAATGATGCCAACAGTTTGACTGGTTGATGTCCGGGAGTAAAGAAGAAGATTTTTAAAGATTGCATTAATTTTGGTGGTTTTAGCCCCACCCCTCAGGCCCCAGGGGGGCAGGGACCATGAAATTCACAATTTTTGTTCCCCTTCACCCATAGATGCTATATGCCAAATTTGGTTGAAATTGGTTGAGCGGTTTCAGAGAAGAAGCTAAAAATGTTCAAATGTTAACGCACATCGCACGACGCACGACGCACGCCGACGGACAAAAACGGATAGCAATAGGTCACCTGAGTGACTCAGGTGACGTTTCAAGTTGGCGGATCTAAGTTACTGACAATTTTTAATGAAACTGACAACAAGCAATCGTTTATTTATTTCATAAAACGTCATAACTGAATTATTCAATCAAAACTTGATTTAAATGATATAAAAGAAATCAGCTATGATAACCGATTAAAAAGGGAAATGTGCAAATTATTTTCATCATTCACAGATCTTAATATTGACGGAAGCATCATATAGCATCGATGTTAAAAAGAAAATCGAGGCGATTATAGCTGCATGAACATAAAAAAAAGCGAAACACCCTATACTACCCCCCCCCCTCCTTTCCCATTTGACCAACTACTGTCAAGTTTTTATTCCGGATTGTTTTTTTTTTCTTTATCTGATTCCTTCATAAAATGCAATTGAAAGGAAATACTATCCCTCGCGAACAAGGTATTTTAATCTATGTCATTCTAACTCCCATCATCTCTTGTGTTGATTGCATAGAAGTAAATCATGTAAGTGCCCCTAACACCATACCTATAACTTCTAGTAAGGTTTTCTAATCTAATACCAAGTCCGTCCCTCCGTACATGACACGTTTAAATGTCAAAGTAAGCCGCTGAGTGTAAAAATCAGTGCTTCTCGCAACAGTCCAATCATAGGGCGTTAAAAGCTAATTTTTACACAGGTACTTGGTTCTTGGTTTATAAATAGGTATGTACCTTATTGGTATGTAAAAATAAGTAATGTACATTTTTACATATCAATAAGGTACATACATATTTATAAACCAAGCCCAAGTACCTGTGAACCCCCCCCCCCCCAAATCAATTTATCAGTAAAATGTGCATATTCATTGCTTTATCCTTGTTGGAAATGAAATACAAGCATCTAAAATACAATATTCATGACATAGTATAACAGGTTTCACAATAAACGTTAATTTATGAAATTGTTATTTTCCAAGTTTTTACAAAAAAGGGGGAGGGGGTGGTTGGAGACGTACATCTACTTCATGCGGGATTTTGAAAAAAAGTATTTCTTCCTGCTATAAGCCTGTAGGCTGTCAGTAGAAACTACAATATATTTTCTGTCGGCAGTGGTATAAATTCAATTCCCCGCGCTTGCGCGGGATTTCATCTAGTTTGAAATAAAAGCATCACCAAAGTCCATAAATTTATTTACAACATCAATACCATTAGTTCCCAAAAATATGTCTAGCCATACTTTATTACTTTCTGTTACCAATCTTTTGATCCAAGTACATTTTAGCGATTTTATGAAAATATCCACATTTACCATCTTTAATCTTTAATCCTCCAGCTTGAGTAACTATATCCCTTTTAACTCTATCAATCTTTGATTTCCACATGTAAATTCAAAACGGTCTTTACAAAATGAAGAGATTTTATCATAGTTTGGTGTAGGAAGGGAAATAAATAAATAAGTTGTAGCAAAAAATAGTTTTTACAATTTCGATACGACCAACAGGTGTAAGTACTCATCTATTCCATTATTGGATCAATGATTTAATTTTTGGTAGAATAATTTTGTAATTTATATCAGTAAAATTTTCTAACTCTACTGAAAAAATTATACCAAACAAAGTGAAGGTTTTGAATCCCCAATCTAGTTTCCATCCTGAATTATGATAAACTTTACTTGAATTTTTTTTAACCAATCCAAATAATTTTTGTTTATGAATTTTTCTCTTTAACCTGGATAATTGTGAAAAGAAATCCAAAGCATGGAGATCAGCAAAGAATTTTCGTGAACCGTCAAGGGCCAGTGAGATACATGTATCATCTGCATATTGAGAGATTTTGTGTTCTTTTTCATTTACTATAACGCCTCTTATATCTTTATTTTGTTTGATTAAAATTGCCAAGATTTCGGCACAAAGGAGAAACAGATAAGGAGCAAACGGAATCTCCTTGTCTACAACCTCTCTGAACAAGAAATTGTTCTTATAAAAATCCATATTGCAAAACTGATGCTTTAAATTTGTATTTAGGATCTTAATCCACTCAGTAACTTTTCTGCCAAATCCAAAGTATTTCAAGGCTTTATAAAGAAAAGACCACGAAATTGAGTCATATGCGTTTTCAAAGTTGTTTAGCATTAACAGACCTGGTATATTTATTGACTCTGTATAAGACATTAAGTCATAAATAAATCTGGTGTTTCCCCTACCTTTAATAAAACCTGTTGTGTATCAGAAATAATAATTTTACAGTTGACTTTATTCTAAAACTTTGACATCCAGTTATAAGTTTATACAGGACATTTAATAAAAATTATATAAAATATTATTTTTCATATTTTTAAGTACATGTAAAATTTCATTTTCCGCAATATCTTTCTCAATATTATTAGAAGTGTTCTCATCGAGATTTTTTTTAATTTCAGCTGGGTCAATAATTTAAAAAACAAAATTTATTATCGGTATTCTTTCTGAGTTCATGTACTTTAAGCTTTTATTGAGTTCTGCTGAAGTGAAATCAAAGTTTATGTACACAGAAATTTATCACGAAAATGATCAATCATTATAGGTATTTAGATGTTTCTAGCAGTTTAACCACATTTTAATAAACGAAGATTAACAGTAACATCTACTAAGGACAATCTTTGTACTTAAGATTGTATGGATTTATTTTTAAACAAATCTCAGTCTTTTATTATACCTAGGAACTGAATAAAGCACCATATAAGGTTTTGTAGATAAACCAATGGATCTCGCTCTATAAGATACCATCATTTTATTTTCATTGTTTTATCGTTCAGCAATGTCAATTAATGTTTTGTTTTGTTCTTTCTTTCTTCTTAATTGCAGCATTTTACATGATATTATATAGATAAAGGCTATTCTTTTGTCTGACATATTTTGAAAGAACACTTTCATTGTTTATCAACCTTGATAACTCTACTTACCTGCAATGAACAATTATTGGACCGTCAGCTTCAGGTCGGTCATTTTTCACAAGATCCCGAAAGCAGAGGAGACTATCAACATCGAACGGAACTCCACAATCAGGCCAACCAGTAAAGTGAAACTGGGTCACTTTTTTAATTACTTCGTTCTATAAGAAAGAATATTAGTTCAACAAATGATTGGGTATTCCGGATTTGGAAAATTTATTAAAATCATTTAATGTTGCACAATTGGGTGTGTATATTATATATTTGTACATTTTTTCACATATAGCCAAAATCATGCATTTATTTATTTGTTGACATGTAAATATATTATATTATATTATATCATGATATATTTTTATATTTGTATTTCTGAATTTGAGAGATAAATATATGTAGGATCTCCCATGATTTTATGTTTGTGGTCGCCAAGGCTCGAGGGTAAATAAGAAACAACTCGTTGGATAAAAATCATACCCAACCATAAATCATAGGATATTTTTTAATCACATGTTTCATATATGAATCCACATTATTTTACTTCACCATTTCATGCAAAAACCAATCGTGACGTCACAACAGTGGTACATGAAAAAATATGAATGAGTGATATCCACAAAATAAAGGGGTAAATATGTGATAAATACATATATTTTTCTGTTGGAAATCTGATAATTCTTACTGGATTTTCATCCTCACCCCCGACCTGCTGCACAACCAGGTGTCTAATTGTATAGTTTTCATAATTGTCCTGAGATTCCAATCGAATCACAATATCACCAAACTTATCCTCTTCCTCAGGCCAGTACTTAAGGCATTTCATCTGCATGAAAAAACATCTTTTTCATTTCCTTTACATGAAACTTTATAATATTTTAGAATCATTTAAATGTACGGTTATTACTTTTCATTGCTTGCTTTACATTTTTGGGTCCACTAGGATATAACCTATTTGGCGAATTTCTTGTTATGAATGATGTAACCAAAAGAATTATATTCACCAAGGTTGTAAAATCGTTAGTGAGATTAAGAACAAAATTGAAACCCACGAAATAATATTATTCCACTTTATCTTTAATAAGAGGGCCAAAGAGACTGAATGGTCACCTGAGTATAGTACAACACTGTAAACGATCCACAGATGTATAAATAAAACAAAATATACCGCTAGATGAAGCAATGTTGCCCAAGAGCAAGAAAAAGCACGACCAGGGATAAAAAAAAAATAAATAAATAGTCAAGTAGTCCGTATAACATGTCTAAAAGAAGATCCGCCTACCTGCCTGTACCCCCTCCCTCTTATTTGTCACTATATAAACTAAACAAAAAAATAGAGCCTGAGCACTGTTATTGAACTCATCTCATTCCCCTTCACAATGGCTTCTTTTGGTTATTGAAGAATATTGCATATATATAAAGATAAGGTATTTTTGTCTCAAGTTTATTTATCTATTATTTATAAATCTACACGACCATGAAAGCAATAAAAATACTATTTGAATAATATATTTTAAAAATTCTTTTACCATTCCCATTTTATTGATCTTTCAGTGACATTATTAACAGTAATCAATCATCATAGGTGAATAGCAAAGGGTAATCACTTCTCTCAGAAGAATACAAATTAAAAGAACCCCTGGCCAGCACCAGATCACTGGACCATGTGGTCCAGAATTTCCCAAATATAAACGAAATAATGCATTTTCATCATAGATTCAAACACAATCCCATCCTAACACAAAAATCCCTGACCAAGGGGCCATGAAATTCATAATACTGGAAAAGGCAAACTTGCTCATCATTATAATGCACTTAGTTTATCTGCTAAATACTAGAACTTAGGAGCACAGAAGCTTTTCGAAGATGTAATGCATTTTCACTCTATAATCATAAGAGCCCCATCCTAAAACCAGAGTCAAGGGGCCAAGTTACTCATAATTTTGGAAGACGCATTGTTGCACATCATAACTATGCATTTAGTCTGTTTGCTAAATACCCTTAGATAGATTAGACTTTCAAAGAAAAAATGAAATTTCACTATATACTCAACAGAGCCCCGCCCTAACACCAAAACCCCTGACCAAGGGGCTATGAATTTCATAATTTTGGAAGAGACATACTTGCTCATCATAACATACAATTTGTTTTCCTGCTAAATACCAAGGGGCCCAGAAGAAGCTATTTAAATTATTTATGCATTTTGCCATCTGATCAATAAAGCCCACCCTTTCACCAGAATCTCTTACCCAGGGGTCATAGAATTAACAATTTTGGAAGAGGCACCCTTGCTCATCATAACAATGTATTTAGCTTATCTGCTAAATACACAAAAAGCAATGACGATTTTCAAGGAATTAATGCATTTTGACTATATACATGTAATCCAAAGAGATCCGCCCTAACCCCAGAATCTTGGCCCTGGAGCCATATCATTAAACATTTTGGAAGAGATTTACAAAAACAATAATGCATTTTCACTTTATAGTCAATAGAGCCCCACCCCACTTTCAACATAAGAGCCGCTGACCAAGGAGCCACAAATTTCACTATTTTGGAAAAGGTACTCTTGCTCATAATAATCATGCAATTCGTTTATATGATAAATACGCGGGAGCAAAGAAGATTTTCAAAGAATGGGTTTGCATTTTCACTATATGATCATTATAGACCCCATCATAATCACCAAACAGAACCCCTGAAACAGGGATCATGAAATACATAATTCTGAAAAAAATTCACCCTTGCTCATCATAATTTTGCATTTAGTTTGTACACATCATACTCAAGAGCCTAGAAGGATTTTCAAAGAAATAATACATTTTCAGTACATAATAAATAGAACCAAGAGCCCCTAACCCTGGGGTCAAAATTTTTGTAGAGGTGTTTTGTTTGTATGTTGTTTAACGTCCCTCTCGAGAATTTTTCACTCATATGGGAAATTTTGTCCTATACTCGGCACTTACGGCCATTGAGCAGTGAGGGATCTTTTTCGTGCCAGCACCTACTGCGACACGGGACCTCGTTTACACGGTCTCATCCGAAGGACCGGTCTCCACGTCCCACAGTGGGATTCGAACCCGCGACGTAAGGATCAACTACTTTTGCCGCGACTCTAGAGCAGACGCTCTAACCACTGCGCCACGCGGGCGACTTTTGGTAGATGTAATCTTACTGATAATAACAATGCACTTCGTTTATCTGCTTAATACCCAAAAGCAAAGAAGATTTTCAAGGAAATAATGCATTTTCCCTATATAATCAATAGAGACCCACGGTAACATGGGCCATGAAATTTACAATTTGGAAAGAGGCACCATTGCTCATCATAGCTATGTACTTAGTTTGTTTGCTTAATGCCGACGAGCGTAGACAGTAATTTTCCAAAAAAATAATTCATGTTTACTATATTATAATCCTTAGAGCCCCCCTCCCAACGACAAAAACAGATAGCAATAGGTCACCTTAGTGACTCAGGTGACTTAAAAACATTTTATGTGCTTATGAAAGCATTATTAAATATCTCACATGATCGCCTTCAAATAAATTTGTTAGCATCACAATTCTTGAACTGTTTTCCTGCCAAATCATCCTCCAGAAATCAACCAATGTTGCGGGAGTAAATGGTCCTATATAAAAGGTAGTCTTTAGTAGTTTACAACATTATGAGTGAAAATAAAATAAAAGATGTGAGATAATGAATCTAATCTGAGGTTGAAAAAAGTTTTGAAGGAAAAAAAACTGCCATTTTGCTAAATTCACTGCATTTCATTTGATTTGATCAAGTATTGAAAAGTAAGATGTTTATTAGGATGAAGAGGAACATGCAAATGAAGACATATAAAATTAAAAAAAAAACGAACAATAACATGGATTTATGAATGAAGGAGCAGAAGTTGTTGAAATTATATAGTAAATTACAAAGAGTGATAAAGATTACGACAGGTAATGGTGAAATAGGCTTCATGGCATTGAATATGATACTTGTTTGGTTTTTTTTTAGGGCCTTAAGACACATCATAATGTGTCGCAAATACTTACATATTGTAGACTATTCATGTGTTTTCATTTTTATCAACAATAAAAACTGTTAGTATTTTAAATAAGGTGTTATCAATGTCATAATGCATGAAGTTGCTTTAAGGCATGAACTTGAAGTAAATGTATGTATATTATTTTTTTTTTATTCTCAAAAGTTGAACTAGAATCTCATTGAAATTAAATATTCTGCTTACTTAAGCTTTTGTTTAAAAAAATTGTTGTCTGTAGTATTTCGATTCCTTAGAGATATTCTTTTTAAATCTGGATTTGGATTCTACATGCATGCAATATAATATTTTCTTATATTTACCCTGGGCTGCAATATAGGTAGGATTTCCTTTAATACCCTGTAAAAATGAGAATAAAGCCTTAGGGTATTTTTAGGTCTTACTATCTTGGATGCTTCAACTATCATTGGGTCGTAGCTTTGATTGACATATTTCATACTACCTGTAAGGCCATTATTTTCACACTGAAGTAGACTACGAATTAGACTTTGTCTACCTGACCAATTAATACATAGGGGCCACGGCGTGTGACTGATTGACAGGGAATCCCTAATCCAGACACCTGATCTCACCTCTGGAATTTTCAGGGGTCCGTGTTTTATGTCCTGTTCACAAATTTATATTGTTTGTATGTTTCTAAGATCGACTACTGTGCGTTATCTTCACCTTTTAAATGTAGGTATTATTTTTTTCATATTCTCAAAAGCTGAACTAATATCACATTGAAATTAAGTATTCTACTCCCGATTTGTATTATCTAAATGGACTTTGAACAGTTCGTTATCTTATTGAAAACCCAAAGGTCTTTTTTAAATACTGGTTTTATAAAAGCGTTTAAAATATTTCACTTGTCGAATTATTTTTATTTATATAAGATAAGATTAATATTACTGAAAATAAAAATAAAATTAAACACTATTCCTGACCTCGACATAACAAGCATTAATATAGTCATTTCTTCCTTGTCCTTCGGAAGTGCTAAGTACAACCCGACAAAAATCATCTACAACAAAAAGAGCATCATTGTAGATAATTCATATATTGAACAAATATTTCCTTATGACGTACTTCATCATTGAATGTACATTTTTATTTTTTTAAATAATGAAAGCCTATTTTCCTCATAATGGGTATAAAATGGCGCTATATATTCGTACCTAATCTGTAACCATGTTAACAATCAACTATTTACTAGTAATCATGAGTTTTATTATAAAGAATTGTTTATATATATAGTACTTCTTATAATCTACGTACACTTTGTTTACAGTTTTATGTTTATTATCTATTACAGTACATGATTAGCATATATGTACACAGACAAAACGCATTACATCACTGCAACATTTTGTATTTCCGATTTATCATTCATATTGTGGAAAAGAATTTATATGAAACAGAGCGATAACTTACAAGGATATACGTATCTATAGCGGTTCTTAGAAATGTTCTCTTTCTTTACAGCCTCTGTGTATAGTTCCATTAGCCCAGTCGGTATTTTCTAAAATGATTCAAATTTTAGCTTGAACTCATCAAAAAAAAAATTAAAAGCTTTCTTAAACAAAATAATAAAAAAAAATAATAACATTTTTACTTTAAGGAAAACTTTTCAAATTTAAAGGAGATTTAGTAAATTTCATTAATTTAGCTGATAATTTTTTTCAGTAAACTCAAATGGCTGTTGCAAGAAATGCAAACTCTACCGCGAATTCTTCTTCCTCAAAGACGTTGTTTTCACGTCTGATGCTGTGGTACTCAATGAATTTGTCCACTGGGATCCTATGAGCTATGGTATTAGTATACTCCACATCTAGTCTTTGAATTTCATCAATGACAATGTCGTCTGCCTGAGTTATTTCTTCGAGAAATATCGTGTTGGCCTCGTTCCCCAGAATGTGCTGTGGTACAACATGGTTTAATGGCTGCTCTTCTCTAGGTCCATTCTCCTGAGAATCTAAGGCTCTAACGATCTCTGATTTTCTTAATAATTTCAATCTGCGTAGTGATCGAAATAATTCTAATTTATAAAGGTGATGGAAAATGCATGACTTTGAGAGTTCAAACAATTAGCATCATTTGAATTCAAAAAACAATATAAATTCATTACAATAAATACCTTTTGATCAGTAGAAGAATAAGAAGCAGTACCAAAATTATCATTCCAAACAGTACTGCCAATAATAGGTCATTCTTTTCTTTGTTTCCAGAATTCATTAGACTTTCTGGTCAAGAGAGAATGAAGAATGTGTTTATTCATTATATAAACTGTCAGAAATGAGCATTTAATATAATTCCTTTATTTCAATCAAATGATAAAATTAAAAAAAATACATAGGATTTTTATCGAAATAAAGTAAGATTTTAAAATTCATGGTAAATTACTCACGAGAAGATGTGTTGATTGTTGTGGTGCCAATCATTGTTTTATTAAACAATACGCATATATTAGGGCATGAAGTGCAAGTCTTATTCACATTTATATCACATGACTTTTTCGAACACGATGTACAATTGATACCCCTACAGTCTGAACAGTTCGTGACAACTCTATTCGGACAATTATCCCATCTCTGACTTCTATCACAAACATCACATTTATCGCAACTCAAACACTTAGAAATGGATTCGATGCATTTCAAACAAGATGGCGGTTTGAAGAGCTCTGATTTACATTTATAACAAGCGCCTGTTTCCTTTTCACAATCTCCTCTACACTTCTCACTACAAGACTTGTTGCAATTTACACCATGCCATCCAATTTTACAAGGTTTACACGTTTGTCCATAATATCCTGGATAACATGAGCTGCAAACTCCATTATTTATGTCACACTTTCCATCTGAACAGTTATATGGGCAATTTTTATCACAGGATTTACCGTACCAGGAAGAATTAGCACAAGTCAAGCAGAAGCCACTTGCAGGGTCGCAAGTTCTGCAGGATTTATTGCAATTTTTGCAATTTTCACCGTAATGGCTTTCGTTACAGTCTTCAAAAAAATATAGAATAGCGTTATTAGAAAACAGCGATTCAAAAATGTCTGTATTACAGACCCTCAATCAAATTAATTTTTTTTGTTAACACATTTGCCCCTTGCGCCCTTAGAAGTGTCTAACTCTTATGTTATAAATGCAACATGTTTCTATACAGCGTTACTTTTATTTAAAACAAAAACAAAGATGTGTTCTCCTGAGTTTCATATAACGACTTTAAAAAAACTTTTTATGTAAACTTTTTCCAAGCAGCACCCGTATTCATTGTTACTCTAGTGAATGGATGTAAACTCTAGGTTGTTTGCGGTAAATTTATCTTGTTGTAAGTAACATTCACTATTTTGAAATTTAAAACACATTTTTTATTCTAAAAATCAGCTCAGCTGGTATAAAATACCTCTCTCAAAACTAAAGTAACTAGAACAAAAACGTTGATTCTTCGATGTGTTATGAACCTTTATTCAAGAATTTCTTAAGATTTAAGGCCGTAATGCCTTTTAGTTACACATTATGAGGTAAAGTTAAGAAAAAAATGTTTGATTATGGATATTACATGTACGAAGTGGAGAAAATGGTATAAAACCATTCCTAGTAAAAATATTTTGATCTTCTATGGTAAAAACTTTGATTCACTACAGTAAAAACTTCCATGTTATAGTTAACTGTAGTAAACTATTTTAATAGTTTACAAAATTTTTGTCAAGGTAGTGCTTAAATGAATATCGCCAAATTATAAATTCAGATGTTTAAGAAAATGTCAACTCTGACAATGCTATTTCATTCTCTAATTAATTCATGAAATTGGTTCTTAAATTTGAATATTCTTAAAGAAGTACACACACATTTTATGCTAAATTACAGATTTTTTTAGAATCATTGAGAATTAAGTATTTTTTCAATGTTCTGGATTATTTTACTTCAACATTTATCGACGTAAACAATCTAGGTTTAGTTCGAAAGTAGAACTTATTATTAATCAGGGATAGTGGACTACTTATATGAAGGAATAATGCAATGATATTTAAGCATGTAGTAATATAGTATATCGTGTAAATACATGTATGCTAATTTTAATGTTTTCATATGAAAAGAAAAATAAATTACAATATATTTGTATTTTGCTGACATAATCATTTCCAGAACTACTTTTAAAAATTCTAACTTGTGTTATATTTATTTACAGTGAAATATGAAGAGAACTATAATTTTTATGTGTAAAGTTTATTTGGAATGATTTTTTTATCTACAGAAAAGGAAAATCAGGCGACATGTCGAAAAATTTTCTGAAAACACTTTCATAATATGTGTTTTAACTTAATTTGAAGGAATAGAGTGGGATTACGGGGAAAAGATATTATTATTAATAAAAAACAGTAACATATAGAAGACGTACAATTCCTCACAGTGGCAAGTACTGTTTGGTCAAAAGTATAATATCAATTCTATTTTTATAAAAAATAGAAGTTAAATCAAGGATCAGCAGACATGTACACGACATTTGGTAAACCCAGTTCTACTGGACAAGAAGATTCTAGGTTTGAAATTGAAGAAAACGAACAATTAAATCTGTGGACTTTTACTGTAATTACTGAATAGTCAAAAGGAGTAAAGGACAGGTAAAATTAATCGTATACAGGAAATCAAAATATTTTTCCCATTCTTTTAATGTAAGATTCTTATTTACAAAGAGATGGCTGCAGATGTGTAGCTCACTGTCTAATGATTAAAGTTGGACATTCAGAGAGCCAAAAATTGACAAAAATGCGCACGTTTCTCAATTTTTTCTCCGTATATTCAAACTGCCATCAATCGAAAACATGGGTACTTTTTTGGAATACAATTGATATACTTGTTTTCAATGGGCGATCTGTGTCTCTCTCATAGGCGTCGGAACCGGGGGGGGGGGGGGCTAGGGGGGCTTAGCCCCCCCACTTTTTTTGCAAAGATATACATAATATAGGCATTGAAAATTGGGGCTTACCTTTTTTCGTTGGTTTAGCCCCCCCCCCCCCAACTTTCAATTAGCCACCCCACTTTTAATTTGCTTCCGACGCCTATGTCTCTGGTCACCCATCCAACTTTTTTTTTCAGATCAACGAGTTATAAATCTGCAGCTAGCAAAAGGGTAGCAGTTTACCTTTAAAAGAGAATTCATACAGTCGTAATACTCCCTGATCTCTTCTGGTGAGGGTTAGAGAATTCCCCCTCATCTGTTTAAAACAACACACTGTAATATTGTTTGTTGAGAGTGAAGTATTCACGGTGAAATTGGCACAGTACTGGTCAAGTGTATTATCTATATTAACGTTCAGGGAATATAGACCTACAAATGAAATGGTAAAGCTTATTTAGAAGCCATTTTCCTGTATTTAAGACTTAAGTAACACTGTACGTTTTAGTAATAATTGTCACAGGTACTTGTGGACAGGACCCCCCCCCCCCCCCCCGAATATACCCCACAGGTCAAAAAATATTTTTATGTATTTTTTTCGATATTTTATAATACCGCGAGTATGATTTTTTAGTAAAACGTTAATTCTGCGTTATTTTTTGGATTTTTCTTATGGAATACATTGTAAATGTGTACTAGAAGAATAATTTATGAAAAAAATACATAAAAATATTTTTTGACCTGTGGGGTATATTTGGGGGGGGGGGGTCCTGTCCACAAGTACCTGTGATAATTGTATAATGAATAGGACTCAATTGCTTTCAGAGACAAGAAATGTCTCGTCGAAATGAATTATAGATAAGACTTGAAGCTCAGTTTGGTCATCTGTGAAGCAGACAAATTTAGTAATATTAAAAGTTCTGATCTTCTTAATAAATAACATGAAACATGTTTATTGTTGACACAATTCCAAATGATAGTGGTTTATATAGAAAATTCGAGAGGACCGGCAGATATAATGTATTAAAACAATATTTGTATGAGGAATGGGGAGTTATCATTCTTTGACAATTTTTAAGTTATTAGATTTTTCACTTGGCACATCATTTGGCATATGATCTGATAATATTTTATATTGCATCTACCTGTATTATTCTATATAGGGAAAATACACAGGGAAAAAAGTATCAGTTTTGATCTTGGACCTTGAAGCTTGACAATGAACTATAGTTAATAACAGATAACATTAAAGATATAAACACCTGCTCTAATAACAAATGTAAAACAGGACATATTCCTTTCCGTATCAAATGCTATCTTCCAATAGTTATTCACGCCAGCCTTGGTGATGGTAAATGTGAAAGGATCTCCGTCAACAGCAAAAGAGGCATATTCCTCCTTGGAATATCTAGTTTTATGAGGCGCAGAAGACTGTGAAACTGATTCATACTGCAAAGCTGATAGTCCTGATACAATATAAAGCAAACTGATATTAAAGAGAATTGTTATAGATTTTTAAGTGAAAAACATTTTTATAATATGAAAAATACATAATAATATAATGTTGAAAGATTTATTTAAACGTACATGTAATTGAAATATCATTTTATCAAACATGTTAAGTTACATGGACAAATTAAGTATTCAACAAAATACAATATATCCATCGTGATTGTTAAGCACTAATGTGCGTAAAACATCCATCAACAATTGCTTTTGAAACATACATAAATGAATGAAAAGTTATAAAAACTCACTACCCATGGTAAAAATTATCAAATAAAAAAAAGCTAAATCTTCCGCTCCTGATTTCATGACTCCTCCTGCATAAAATAAATTACAAATAAATACGACTCACGTAAATTTTTGCAGTACTTTTGCGTCAATGGGTATAACTTCCTTCCTAGTCAGTAGATAATTATATTTGTATGTTAATGGGCAAATGGTCACGCTAATAATAACTTAAGCAAGAACGCAATGTTATTTGATTCACCTGATTCAATCACATTGTCTGTTTTACAAACATTATATGTATAACGTTGAAGTCATATAAAACGATCCATTTCTAATGTTTATCTTTTAATAATATATAGATTTTTTCCAATCAGAATATTTCCTAGAACTTTCTCAACATTTAAAATCATTTAAAATCAAACAATTACAGAAGTATAGGTACTGGAACATCTAATCTTTTGTTTGTTTCTTTTTTCTTTGTTTTGCTATAATTACATGTATGGGGGGGGGGGGTGTTATAAAAATAATTTTAAATTGTATTTTGAAAATATCCATCTGCTATTTGTCAGAAAAATAATATAATGTAATTAAAAAAGAATGCCTGGTACTTAGTTTTCCTTGACGCAAGATTTGTTACCTAATGATAACTCTCTCTCTCTCTCTCTCTCTCTCTCCATAAAATGTCCACCTCTGGTATCTGAAGCTATGTAGTTATTAAACTAAAGACTTCTTTTAAGCACAAACAACATGGATAAGACTTTCTCCTAATACTTCTGTTAAATTTATAAATCTTGAAAACAATAATTGAATGTCCAACGTAATGTACAAAACATCGAATCCAGATGTTTACGTCTATTATTCTGCTACAAATTCATAACAGAATCGGTTTTTTTCATATATTATGTTAAACAGAGTTATATTCAAGGGTAATATCTTATTTGCATCATACATGAACACTCTTATATTCGGGTTTTGACAAAATTATGACTGAATCGAATAATCATTAAACAAAGTAAACATGCTCATGTTTATTGGATAAATATAACATGTTAGAAAAAATAGAAACCTTCAATGAATAAAGTATGATACATAAGACCATTCACATTTACACGTTGAAAACAAATGGTCTTGTAAATATTTCTTTGATCCGTAGGTTTTGTTAATTAACTGTAATTGACAGCAAAATTGTCTAAAAGTTCTTTCTTATTCATTCATAGGAAAAAATGCACAAACATCCACACACACACTAGGAGAGGGCATGAGACTAGGGATATAGAAGTAAAAAAGAAATATCATATATCTCTCCGACCAAACCAATAATATTTTTGTTTGACAATTTTTTTTCTATTTAGTCCATACGTATGTAAATTTGCTAAAATGAAAAAGGTGAAGATAACGAACAGTGATCGATCTTAAAATATTTACAAACAATACAAATCTGTGAAGAGGGCATAAAACAAGGACTCCCGGAAAGGTGGGATCAGTTGCCTAGGAGGAGTAAACATCCCCTGTTGACAGGTATGACCGGTTACCCGCCATGAGATCTATGTATTGGTCAGGTAGACGGAATAGTTCGTAGTCAAATTTAGTATTAATACAAAGGTCTAACAATTGGTATGGAAACCGAAAATTGGATGCGCGTCCTAAATTGGCCACTTGAAAACTTCTTCCTTTTCCATTTAAGATTGATAAGCACATATTTCCAAAAACAAGTCCTTGTGTGCTTTTATACTGTTGTCAAAATTTAAACCTGTTCATTTTGATTTGAAGGTTCATTGTTTTTGATGATATAATTAACTACACTATTTATTGACATACAGATAATCTTTACGTAGTGCATATTGTTAGATTGATGATTAGAAAATCTATGCAGTTGATGAAATAAACACTTTAATTCATCATCAAGAAAGACACTTCACAAAATTTTAAAAAATGGGTTATGGTATATTCTTCGTATGTTAAGTTGTGACTAAAATATGGTATCTGTATTCTGGAAGTATTTGTATCAACAAATGTACATGTAAGTATCTCATAACCGGAAATGTTGATAAAAAATAACCCACTTCTCTATCTCTCCTTTTCGATAGATTGAATTTTAACAATAACATTGAAAGAATTTCCTTGATTAACTACATATGCGTACAATTATTTTCATCATTTTTCCTGGTTTTACACATCTTGGATATATTGTCACTGTCAATAAAGACCCTACTTCTTTTATTTGTAAAGCAAAGAAAGACATACATGTACTTTTACTGATATAATATTAATCTCAATTATTATTTTAGTATTTATTAGATTTACCAAGAAAGATTGTGTGCCAAAACAGGACTGTATGTTCTGGAATAGAAGGTTTGTGCATTCTTATTCGCCGATTAGCGTACCCAAGTAGATTACAAGACCTTTCGCATATATTTGGGAGATCAACTGCTGAATTATCATACATTTTTAACACTGTCCTTAATTTCATTGATACAAGCCACGGACACAGACTCGAGAGTTTAAATCAGCCTTGGTTGTCGCACGCAAAGTTGGATGAAATGGCCACAGCCATAAGTAACTGCGGAGCCCCGCTGTTAAATTGCTGGGGTTTTATAGACGGAACGGTGAGGCCAATATGCAGACCCCAATCTCATCAGCAGTTGGTGTTTAATGGCCATAGGAGAGTCCATGGTCTTAAGTTTCAGTGTATTACGACACCTGATGGAATGATAGCGCACCTCTTTGGTCCAATTGAAGGTCGACGTCATGATGCCGGTATGTTACGAGAAAGCGACGTTGAGCATCAACTGCAACAATATATGACAAAGGCAAATAATGATGTCTACTCCCTCTACGGTGACCCCGCATACCCATTATCACCCTACCTAATACCCCCATTTCGGGGAGGTGTGATCTCAGCTAATCAGATGCGCTTTAACAAAAGAATATCGGCAGTGAGAGTGTGTGTAGAATGGACTTTCAGCAAAATTTTAACTCTCTTTGCTTTTCTTGATTATAAGAAGAATCAAAAACTGTATTTACAACCTGTTGGAAAGTATTACAGAGTAGCATCAATCCTAACTAACTGTCACACTATTCTCTATGGGAGCGAGACCGGGTCATTCTTTGGTATACCTCCGCCATCCCTACAAGAGTATTTGGCCTAAAACGTGCATCAACTACTAAGTACATGTATGAATGCATGATAATAGGCGGTTATGTGCAAAGGTACTAAACAGAACAGATTTTAAATGTGTCTTAATTTATTCATTTATAATTTATTCAGTTATAACATATGTGAATTATCACAGTACATGTACTTGTTTATTTGTTATTTATCTTTTGTTAATTTCTTTAACAAATCAATAAAAGCAAGTTTTTCTTGCTTTTCAATTTCCATCCTTTGCATCCTCTCTTGTCTATCCAGATCAAATTTGCCCTTTTCCAATTTTAGTTGTTCCTTTTTGAACTCCATTTCTTCGCTTTTTGTTCTCATTTCCATCTCGGTCTTTTCCTTTAAATAGTCGACGAGGTAAGTTTGGGAATTTTTCCTTTTTGGTGCCCCACACTCATCATCTGAAATTAATAAATTTCGAAAGAAGCAAATATAT